TAGAAATAGGATCTGACGTATTCGCGCACTATTATTGATACGATCTGGCTCTTCGATGCTACTGTGCTGATACCATTGTATGAGACGAAACGTCCGCTTGAGAAAGATCACTGCCTTGACTCATTGATCGGTCGCGTCCACGAAGCGATATAACTCTCAGTGAGATGACTATGAACAGAAGACAGATTGAACCTTATCAACACCAAGGTACTTTGTAGGAAGATAAGATCTTATGGCCGCTTATCCCCGGTCAAAGTGGGGTTCAAGATGCCCATACCGATCTCGGCGATGGACGTCGTGGTTTCTTGCGACAGAGATTTATCGAATACTCTAGTGTGTAATGAGTTATCAAGTCTATCCCATTCCGATATGTACAATACTTCGTAGTTTTCATTCGCATCAACGCATGTCCAGGTCGCTGCCGGCACGGGTCTTTATTGTTGCCTCGACGACAAAGGCTGGTTTATGACTACTTGTCAAGCGCATACACAGAGCATTCGTCGAGCGCATCCTTGAGCTGGATCCAACTTGCTCCATTGGCCTAGGCCGACACAAGAACAAGAGCATATCAAAGCATAGTATGGTGCTTCTCATACACGCATACAGTACGAAGGAGACAACGTCACACAACAGACACCCGCTGTAGCAGTCACACAAAATTGCACACCGTACCAAAACCAGAGACATTCCTTCCCGTGACGACGACGGAAGACTGGCGCTCCGCACGTGTTCGACTGTGTCTTCATTTGAACGATGCTACTCACGGTCATATGGTGAGCGGTGATGCTCTACGGTTGGGAAGCTAACCCCAAGAATAACGGTTGGCAATCGCATCTCAACAGCTCATTCTTCAATTTTCTTGTTGTCAAGCACAATGAACCCTCTCTCTGCCCTTCTTACCTTGATGGCCGCCGCCGCCACGTCTGCCACGACCTACTGCGGCGACTCGGCTCTCAACCTCACCTCGTACAACCCCGGCAAGGAGGCCATCTTCCCCGTCTCGTCCGTGCTCGTCACGGGCCAGAAGGACGCGATCCTCGTCAACGCGCAGTTTGGCAAGTCCCAGGCGCAGGCCGTCGTCGACCTCGTCAGGCCAGCGGCAAGCACCTCACGACTATCTACGTGAGCCACGGCGATCCCGACTACTACTTTGGTCTTGACACGATCCACGCCGCGTTCCCGGATGCTGCCATCGTGGCTACGGCGCCCGTCGTCGAGCACATCAAGGAGACGGTCGCGGACAAGCTAAAGGCATGGGCCGGTG